TTGAAGGTTTTTTTTTCTTTTGGATAGAAGTTCATTTTTTTAAATACAACGGTAGTAACGGTGATTCGAACATATATGTTAATTACGGACGTTCAATTTGATCCTTTTGGGGTGGAGTTAATGGGTTTGGTTCACGAATTTAATGATATGCACTGAATGAAAAAATATATTACTTTTTTTTAATTCTTAAATTGCAAATACAGCCAAATGTTTCAGTACTAATATAGGTTCGGATCTCGTTTATGTCGGATTCGGATTCAGGGTTCGGGTTCGCGTCGCGGTGCAGGTTTCCCAAAACCCTCCAGCGGCTGCTCTAACCTCTGTAGCTGATTAATTTACCAGCCATGTCGACGGCACTTATCGCCGGCCTTTCTTCAAATCTAGCCCTCAAGCTTCCTCTTCTCACGGCCATTTCATCTTCCCGTTTACGCGTTCGACCCCAAAACCAAAACCAAAACGTTCCATTTTCTTGCTCCCCCCTCAAAATTCAGTCCCTTTGGCACAAGCCCGCAAGAGATTGCAATGTGCTATCGCATAATCTAATCGCGTCTCTAATTTCGAGGAAATTGGGAAGTTTCACCGTGTCCGCCGGAGATGCTGCTGCTTCTGAAGCTCAGAATGACGAAAGAGGGGAGAGTACTATGCCTGAGCGGTTCAGGTACTTGACCAAAGAAGCTCCTGATCCTCCCGTGAGGTGGCCTTTCTTTGTGGGTAAATTCTTCTACTCTTTAGGAATCTTTTCTAGGTTGCTCTGTTCCTGTTCTTCTGTTGAATTTTATGAGTCTAATATTCAATACTTGCTGGTTAATGGTTAATGAAGCACAGAAGTTTCTACCTGATGTCTAATTTGTTAAACTCCTTGAGTTCCGAGTATTGCCTAAAGTTGTTAATTATAAGCTTTTTGGAATTCTTGTCATTTTAATCAGAACATTTGCATCAGCAATGGTTTCTGCTCAGGTAACAGATTTATCCTAAGCTCTACTGGCTTAGATTTCATTGCATGGGTTATGATTTTTAGTACGGGACCTATGGGTATCTGTTTGAAACTTTGGAACTTGGACATTGACTCTCATTAATATGTGATTAGCCCAAATCATTCAGTAAGTTTATGAGTTTTGTGTACTTTAATCATTTATAGTAATGAGTTCATATTGTTAGTAATGAAGTATCTGAATCTTATTCATTACAGTTCCTTTCTGATGACAGAAAAATGGAAAGCTTATCGATTATCTTACTGTTTGTTAATGAAAATGGAAGAGTAAACCACTTTGATATTGACTGTTAAACCTTGTGCAGATATGGTATTTGTGTTTTATTCCAAATCACATCCTCCCATAATATTCAACCTTGATTATATAAATGCTTGAGTTCTTTATCTTTTGTACCATTGATATCATTATTGGAATATGAATTGCTGTTAAAATGACAACTCTTACCTTTGATTACTATGCAGCTCTTGCATTTATAATCTATGCTTGGAGAGCTGTCTTGTTCGAACTTGCTAACTGGAGAAAGCTCGTTCTTGGCATCTTTCGTTTTGTGGGATACTTATTGAAAGGTTCCTTGGCCCTCGTCTTCTATGTTATTGGGGATCCTATCACTTCTATGATTAGAGGCATGGAGACTGCATTCTACACGATTCGCTCTTTCTACTCAGGCATAGTTGCATATGCACCCGTTCCAGAACTGACCACGATAATTGTACTGGCCTCGGCCGTGCTTGCAATTTCAGAAGCGAGTGTCCCAGATTCTATTAGCAGTCAGCCGTATCTTCTAACGATATCAGGCCTTGCTGGGTATGCAGCCGTACGAGGTTACATTTCTGAGCCTTTCTTCTGGACGATTCTGTTGTGTGTATACAGTTTCTCTAGGTTCATCAAGAAGAGAGACGACGTAACTTCTGCATTGCCTGCTGCTGCCACATTTGCGGCCATTGGAGAGCCATGGGTAAGAATCTTAGCTCTAGGTTCATTTATGGCTTTGGCGATTTCTCACCATTGGAAGAAGCTTTCAGAAGGAAAGAAAGAAGACAAAGTTGAAGATGAAGAGGCTGTGAATCAGAGGGGCGTTCCACTGCCCCTTCTGGGTGTAGCTTTAGCTATTGGAATCCGTTCTGCTGCCAAATGGGCCGGATATAGGCACTTAACATGGATGATTGTATGAACCCAAAGAACTTCAATTTTGATTTCAGATCTTGAATGAAATTAGTTACTCATGTGTATAACAGTGGAGCTTATGCTCATGTGGAAGTACACAATATTGAAGATTTTGTTAGAAAATATCTCTTATATCCTCCAACTCCAAGTTTCTCAGATTAGGCCAGCCTATAGAACTGACGTAATTTGAAAAGCTTCGAGTCGGAAGGTATTGCAGGGTTAGAAAATATTAGAATTTTCTCACGACACCTTTAATCTTGTATACTTTATATGAGTAGGCCACTCGAGAGATCATTCTTCGAAGTTTCGAGTTTATCTTCTTCCACAAGGATCACATGAGATTGGATTGAACAAAATTTGCCTAATTTTGTTTCTTGGAATACTTGACATTGAAAAGATGCAATAGGCTGAATTCGATCGAGTTTCCTCTTGAGATGATCAAAAGTTTGAAATTTTTGAGTAGCTCAAATAACATATTTGATATAAAACCGAAAATTCTAGGAACGACGCATTTAAAGTTGAGTAACATATTAGACATTCTTTTTAAATTTAAGGATATTAGATACCAGCTTCAAAGTTCATGAGTTAAACTT